GTGTGCTTCAAGTAAAATTTTATTTTTAGTGCTATAATTTAAAGCTATAGAAAGTTCAAATGATTTATGACATGATTGTACATGTTTTGACACAATGTTAATATATGGTAAATTGACAAATGTTTATATTTTTTATCAGGGATTTACTTAAATGACTTTCTGCTTTATATAATAAACGGACAAAATGATTTTTAATTAATTTATATTTTGTGTACATTTTTTCATCTCCTGGACTAGACATTTATTACATCACCATATTTTTTACCCATTTATTTACGTTTTGAACCTTTCAGTGGCCTCCCAACGGCTAGTTTATGTAACCGGAAATTAAAAAAAAAAAACAAAGCCTCCAAAACAGAACCAATTCAACAAATTGATCCGGTTTAGATCACTAAATCGGATTTATTATCAGAGAACATGGAGAAAAGGTTGGATCACGCTTGGATTCAAAGAAGCAAAATCAAGCAATTCTTTATCTTCTTCAAAAAGTTTCATCTCTTGTTCATTTAAATTCACCCAAGCTTCAATTCCACCATCTTCTTTCGTGTCGAGAAGCGCCACGATGTTCTTCTGTCTAACCGAAGGAAACCCGACCCACACCGGTTTCCCCCAACCGAAATCGGTTTCGTATAAACCGAATCGACAAGCGCTCGAGAAAATGTAGAAATCGAAATCTCCACTTGCAATCATATCTCCTGCTTCTCTCTGGTAATTACAAATGATCTCTGTTGCATTTCGGTTTCCTACAAGCTTCGGTATATGGTTATCTCGAAACCTCTGTTTCGCTTTACGTATTTCGGATACCAAAGTTTGTAGCTTTGTCTGGTTTTCTCCTTCCTCTGCTTTTGCAGCAAAGTAGCTAACTAGATTCCCTATAGAGTTCTCTGTAAACGGTGGAGAGACGCGTGAGCGTAGACTCGCGGAGTTTGCGAGAATCGATGGTTTCGATGTTCTTGTAGCTTTCATTGCAGATTTCCATATAAGAGCCGAAACAGCTTCGACTCTTGTTGGTTGTATCACTTCAAAGCTTGAAGCTTTTGCTTGTAAAGCTTGAATACTCGAGGAATCGAATACGAATCTCTTCGAAAGAGTTTGATTCAACATGATCTCTGGCTCAACCACTGGTGCAGGGGAAGTCTCAGAGAAGTTTCCAGGTGGGAAATTCTTGGCCGTGTCGAAAACCGGAATTCCAACGGTTTTGATCGATCCTCGAGACGAGATTGCAGACCAGCTTTTCATGAATAAACCGATTGAAGTTGCGTCAGCGAGTTTATGAGAGACGCAAACTCCTATAGCCATGCCTCCGCATTCAAAGAAACTCGCTTGAGCAAGAAGCAATTTGGTTCTTGTCTCTATGGAATCAACTGATGTAGGAATCAGTTGTTGCAAGCTATCAGAAGAAGGCTCTTGTAAGAGATTCGAAAGCGGTGAATTGACTTGTGCTTCGAGGAAATCAGCGCCCGAGTCATTACAATCGATGCTTATATTGCCGTTGAGCCGTCCAGCGAGAGGATAGAAATGAGTTAAAGTCTCGGATAACGACTTCTTCAGCTTCTGCAATTGCTCGTTCGGTTTGATTCTGCTATTACCCGAATAGAAGAAAACCATAGGGCCAAAGATCGTTGGACCGAGCTGTTCTAATAGAGAGAGTTTAAAGTTCTTTAAATGGTTTGGAGTTGGAGATGATGGCTTGATGATGTCTTTAGAGATCACATCAACTTTCATCAGTCTTTGGTGGTGAAACCTCCTGAAGAAAAACCGAGCAAGAGTCATCGCGAAGAGGTTTTGTTCGGTTTCTTTGTTTGAAGAAGAAATCTGTTGTAACAAGAGCTTTTAACAGAGGAAATCTAAAGATTCTTGTAGGAAAATGCCAAGAGATCCTCTATACACTAAAGAACAAAACATTTATTCATATTGACATCATTTTAATAGTAGAGCAATCTCTTTCAAGTTTCAACTAAAAAACTAATCATATACTTGAGGCAATAGAAAATTCGTGTTTTCATAAGTATACAGACAAAATAAGAACTGAAAGAGGATAAACATCCGATTTAAATTCTCTCACAATTGAATAAGAAACTCGAAACCAGAGACTTCAAATAAGCAAGTGAAATGTATAAAACTTCGAGTCCTAAAGACAAGAAAAACAAAACATAAACTGATTGTTGCATCGCGTTAAAGTGTAGAGAAAACTCATAGTTCACCATTGGAGAGCAACAATATCCTCTAACTGTCTCCAGGTTTATCCATTCTTCTTCTTAGTATCCTCTGCTTTTTGCTGATCTTCTTGGAACTTGCACAAACATTCTTCGAATAAGTTTTGATTAGAGCTGTCAATTGGGCTTGCCCGCGACCAATTAGGCATGCCCGTGTGGACAATTTTTTTAATGGGCTATATATGGTCCAGCTCATATGGGTTGCGAACAAATATGGTCTTGGCCCACCTGAACAGAAGACAAAATCATTTGGACATGGGCCGTTCAACTTATATATTAACTTTTATATTTTGTTATTTGATTTACGATTAATTTTTCGCATATTTTTAAATTACTAGTTTTTTATTC